GTGTGTGTGTGTGTGTGTGTGTGTGTGTGTGTGTGTGTGTGTGAAGACTTTCTGCTCCTCTAAAGAATTAGGCTTGGGAACCCCCCAGGGCAAGTTCTGCCCTTTCTGATAGGGTCTCTGAGTCAGAATCAACTCAATAACAGTACATATTTTCTGATTTGGAACATGTTATTACGTGAGTAAAGCACCTTGCAGAAAAGACACCTGGTCTAGTGGTCATGCACTGGACTGTGGACCACAAGGTCAGCTCGAACCAACCAGCGACTCCGCAGGAGCAACACAAGGCTGTCCGCCCCCTTCAGGAGGTACCGCGTCAGAAACTCACAGGGGCACTTTGCCCTGGACTCCAGGGACACTGCGAGTCAGAATGGACTTGATGGCAGTGCGTTGGGTTTGGAATTGTGATAAAATATTATGATGATGATTTTTTCTCATTGTGTATATACTGTTGTAAATGTTTCAGGATACACTAGAGATGCCTAATCTGCTTACTCATAAGAGATTGGGGCAGGAGGTGAGGGGGTTATTTTCAGCATAACACTTCTGTACGTGTTTATACTTCAGCTTTTTAAACCGCAGTAATATATTAAACTATTCCTATATGCATATATAAATTTAGCTGTGTAGGTGTTACAGAGAAGTAAGTACAATCTAATTTCTTCCCATAGCTGATATGCATTCAGGATGGTTACCTTTCCCTGCTGACAGAAACTGGTGAAGTACGTGAAGATCTTAAGTTGCCAGAAGGTGAACTAGGCAAAGAAATAGAAGGAAAATACAATGCAGGTGAAGATGTACAGGTAAAGACCTATGGGAAGATTGTTTTTAAAACTTTTTTTATTAAGACATTTGCCTAAACTACTTCGCCTAAGCTATGTAGGTATATGTATTGTTCTGGTGTTGTTAAAATATTGAAAAGTCATCTTTATGAGCCAGGGTTGGTGTTTTCCTCCCATGAAGCCTCGGATCCCCTTACTACCAAAGGTGTTAAAGTTCATTTATTGTGACAGAGGCCCTGTCAGCCTCAAATGTGCTTTAAACCTCTGCCTCTCAGCTGTTGTTGAATATGACAGAAGTGGTGCTATGGAGCTGCTTCTGAGGAAGGAAGATTCACTCTGCTATACTTTCAAAAGTGTGAAAACCCATCAGTCCAAACATATAGCTTTTTAAAAATCGTGCTCCTTTTTTATTCAGTTTCTTAATTTTTGTATTAAATACTTTTATTGGAGGCTTTTACATCTCTTATCACAAGCCATGCATTCATTCAGTGTGTCGAGCACATTTGCACATATGTGGCCGTCATCATTTTCAAAGCATTCTCTTCCTATAGCTTTTACTCTCACTGAAAAATTCTTCTTCAGAAAGCTAATATAAGGTTATTTGACCCTGGAGGGCCCTTTTCCAAAGTCAGTATATACAAAATAGCGTGGATTATATAGTGTATATGATGAAGCACATGCATGTGATGTGTATGAACGTCTCTCTTCTGAACTTCCAGGTGTCTGTCATGTGTGCAATGAGTGAAGAGTATGCTGTAGCCATAAAGCCCGGCAAATAAGTGGAATCATCAGCCTGAGCAGACAGGTCTGGATCCACGGCAGATCTAAAGTTTGCTTCTGAGTTGTCACCAAAGCTATGGCCTTCATCAGCAGCTCGTTTCCTTTTCATTGTTTTGAAATTGTGCTGGGTTAGTTTTGCAAGGGAATTGGCAATTTAACAAAAGAATCAAGATGTATCATTTTTTTGTTTTTGATTTTAATTTCGTTAGCATTCCTGTGCTTTCCAGTGTGGGTCCAAGAAAGAATAAGGTCGCTTTACCAGATGTGCTTCCTCTGAGCGAGTCATTCCTGAGTTTTGTTAAATGATAAATAAACCGGGGTTTAAATCCAACAATGTAGCATCTGTGGGTCGCGACCCCTTTGGGGGGGTCGAAAGACCCTTCCACAGGGGTCGCCTAAGACCATCGGAAAACATGAGTATTTCACAATATATTACATATTATTTTGTGATTAATCACTATGCTTTAATTATGTTCAATTTGTAACAATGAAAATACATCCCGCATATCAGATATTTACAATATGATTCATAGCAGTAGCAAAATTACAGTTATGAAGTAGCAACTAAAATAATTTTATGGTTGGGGGTCACCGCAACATGATTTGAAAGGGTTGCAGCATTAAGAAGGTTGAGAACCACTGATTTAATGGTATTGATGTACCACATACATACAGGTTGAATTGTTTTAGATTAATTTGAGACATTATCACAGACTAGGTTTATGAAATGAAATTATCATGTTTTCCAAAACTTGTCAGTGACCTTAGTGGTCAGGTGCAGCCGCCTGCTTACATCTGTTAGACTGTTTGTCAGATTGCTGGCAGAATGAATGTAACGGTCTTGTTGGGCAGTGTTACTGCCTGCTGATGGTTGGCAGGCACTGGAGGGCACTGCACTATTGGAGACTGTTACAGGTACAGTGTAAAGAAGACACAACATGGCCGAGGGCATTGGTGAAAGCATGCCTCTTCATGTGAGGCCTTTGTTAAACGTCGTGGAAAATAGAAAGTTGCTTTTCGTGCGTGATTTTAACTTTTCCATTTCTTTGGTTGTATGTTTTATTGGCATATAATTTGTGTAACATAAAATCCAGTGGTTTACAGATATTTAAAAGAGATTTGCAGCTTTCTAGCTGTTTTTAAGTAGATATTTTGGCATTAAAATATTTGTCAGACAAAAACTGGAAATTCTTATCTTAAATTTATATGGAAAATGTATTTATGTACTTTTTTTTCTAAAATGAAATGAAAGATCATGGAAGAAGTGTTAACTTTAAGTTGGGATTATTTATTTTAAGACATATGCATATTTTTTCTGATTATTATGTAGGTTAATTCAGTTACTTGTGTGAAACATAACTAGAAATAAATTCTGTAAATGGAATTATTTTTTAAAGTGTTCTAGGTAATACCACTGCATTTGTTTAGCCTTTTGGCTCAGAAGTAACCTGGTTTTTAAATTCTAGACATTATTATTGTGTTTACGAGGACCTCCAAGTTGATCACAACCAGTATATGGGAGTCAAGTGTAGCATAGAGTCACTGTCCGTGTCGTAATGTCTGGATTCTCCTCAGTCTGCCTGGGAGACCTTGCCCAGCACGCCTTGCCTTTGAAAGTCCCTGTCTTCTAAAAGAAGAGATGGACAGGAAGCTGCCGCACCTGATCTGATCAGCACCCGGAACAGCGAGCATAGGCGCAGGAGACCCCACAGTTCTGGTTGCGTAGTTTGTGCGTGCTGTAAAAACCCATTGGGAGAAATGGCAAGATACTTTTACTCAAGGGAAGCATGAGGAGGAGAGAGGAGAATTGTAAAGCACAAGAAATGTTGAAGTGGTCGTTCATTGTTTTTAGTGTAACATCGTATTTAGCTTTTGCTCCATCTATAGCACAATTAGGAATTCCGCTAAATTCTTCCCAGTATTCTCTTTCAATGTCTTATATGCTGCTCTAGTTTGGGGTACGCTGATGCATATATTACTTGCTACTGGTTGGAATCCTTACCCACAGGAATTCTAGAAAGTGTGCGCTCTGTGCTGCTTACTGACCTGACCATTCATATGGCTCCATACTAGTGTTCTGGCTTAAATATTTCTTTTGGATTAGCATGCCCTTGTTCTGAACTTGTCAGACTTCACATAAAAGATGTTCCACGACAGTGTAAGTCCTCTTACCTTGAATGGCAAAAGGCAATTATACATAAATATTTCATTCTGTGTACTATATGAAATGTAAATATTCTTCTGACTTACTAAGTATAGATTTTAAAGATCCGGGACTGTTTATTTTCACATAAATCATAGATGTTTCTCTAGAACAAACTTTCATTCAGGAGCTTTACAGGTTGCATTAAAAGGAAGCGGGAACCTTTTGTAACATAAGACAGAGTGACTTCATTTTATGACACCAGAGAAATACTAACAATAGATCTGTGGTATTGTAGTTTTTTTTGTAGCAAATGCTAAATATCTCAAGTTACCATGTATAGAATGTAGACTGTCACGTTGATGCACACATTTTTGTATAGAATGTAGACTGTCACGATGCACACATTCTTCTCTTCAGGCATTTCACCAGTTTATGTACAGTATTAACAGGGCAAATGTGTTTCTTCCTGGAACAACACTTTATTGCTACTGTGTCAGACTATGTTGTATCTTATTTGCTACAAAGTTGTATAACCTCTGAAATAGATCAGGTAGTCACCACTCTGACATAGTATTTGCATCATAAACATCATTTCTTTCATGCTCCCCTCCAAGGGCTGTCAGTCACTTAAATTGTTGCTAACGAAGCTCTTGACTCTGTTTCCACTTAGGTACAAGCTTCTGTACCAGTGCTTTCTATTAATTACCACAACTTTTCCTGCAGCCAGAGCATGCTGTTTTTAATAGGAACTGCTGCAATAAAATGTTTAGTCTGTACAATTTGGGGACACAGTTTTTGTGGCAGCACAATATGAGTGTGTGCATGTGCACACACAGCTTTGTATGTGTTCTTTTGGCAAAGTCCTCACAACTCTTAAAAAGTACTGTAGTCTGGTAGTGCCTCAAAATGTTGGTAACCTTTGTTAGTTGTTGTTTTTTTACAACTTTTCCAGAATTTGTTTTTGTACTTTAATGATTCTCAGCTAGGTATTTCTAGTTGAGCTGTAATTTGAATGCATCGTTCTCAGGGCTGTTTGTGCTAAGAGCTGAAGTTTCCTTCTTTTAAAGCTAACTGCCTGAAAGTATATTTCAAAAATTTCCCAAATCATAATACTTAAAAATTAAAAATCCTTAATGTCAGTATATTTAAATATGCACTAAGTATTCTAGCCTGGGAAATGGAAACGACAGTAACATCTCTACTGGAATCTTGCCATATTTTTTCACTTGAGAGTAGAATTTAGGTGTCTTTTCTTGGAACCTTACCCCTAGTGATGTATCTAAAAGCATTCCTTTACCATGGGCCCCAAAGAGCGTTCTTGAGCCACACAAGAATGTAGTAGTTCTCAAATGCTTAAGGACAATGAATAGAAAATTCATAGTGCTCTTTTGGGTATATTAAAACGTTTACATATTGAAGTCTATATGATATGAATTAGAAACACCTTTACTATGAGAAAACGTGACTGTAAAGCAGTGTAAGAGCAAAACTGTCATCGGCTTATTTTCATTGACAGAACAAGCTACTGAATTGATCCAACAGTTTCAAAATTCTGATATTATTTAGGCATACTGTTTCATCATTTTCTAGTCTGTTTTCTAGCTAGCAATCCAACAAGTGATAGGCAACAAATATCTAACAAAAATTTATAGTGGAAAATCTGTAAATAGAGAATTCAATGTTAACTTTCATCTGTTCGTTTTTTCTGTGAATTGGGTGCATGACATTATTTGATTTTCACAGGGAACATTTGGATTTTGTTTACAAAATACAGATGTTCTGTGGGAACATGGCTTGAAGTCACTATAATTTAACGTTTTCCATCTGAATAATTCTGACCATTAACTTTACTACCAAGTGAGGTCAAGTGCCTGAGAAGTGCTGTACAGAACTACTCACGTTTTCCTTATATGAAGCTGCATCTTCCAGCAGTGCATATCAGGCTGTCGCCTGCAAGCAGTGTGTATATTGCCAAACTCCTGTCCACGACCATCCCTAACTCCTTAACAACAGGCAGAAACCTACTGTAATAGAAAGGGTTTGTTTGGCTTTTTCATTTATATAAAGTCCCTACAGCTGTTTCTCAGTATTGGCAGCCTTAGATTTTTGCTAGTTCAAGATTGTACTTTTTAAATACTCTGAGCACTAAATCGTATTTAGTGATGATTATGCAACAGGACCCCCACGGGTTGTCATCGACTCCATGGCAGTGAGTTTGGTACAACTCCTCATAGTCATAGTTAGGATCTTTCTTGGGAGAAATTCTTTAACACCTACTATCGATACACATTGCTGTACTTGTTTACAGAGTATAATACAAATATTCTATGCTAGTATAATGAGAATGACCAGTGCTGTACTATTATGTGCTTTTGAAATAAAACGTGTCCTCCAAGGAGCCCATTGAAATGACATCGTCTAATCCAGTGGCACTTTATTAGTAATACATTTATTGTTCCTCACTGTAGGAAAACTTGCTGTCGCCTGCAGAGTTTCATGTTTTAGGTAAAACTTTAAAAATGCAAGGCATAGGTAATATGGGTATTAGAATTGAATATTTTACATGGTAAAAATTCAAATGTTAAGTCTGGCTATACTAAAATATTTGTTGAAATTCTTTACAATATAGATTTTAAATCATCACTTATGATTTTTGTTACATGAAGATATATTTGTTAACTTTAGTTACATTAAATAAAGTTAATTTAATGGCTTGCACTATTCTTTTGATACGTAAGATGGCTATTAAACAAAAATCTACCCTTTTTTTTATAGGGTGTTTTTATTCTAGGTGCTCAGTAGGGAGTATCCTAGCTTTTATGATTTGGAATGCTGATTTCTACATCTTAGTTTCAGATTGAGGTGCAATTTTGTTTCCATTTTTGCACTTCAGTCGTTCCTTTGAATGCATGAGACAGTCAGATACTTCACAATTAGGGGGTACAAGAGTGCAAACCACCATCTCCTGTCTGTGTGTCCTTCCAGAGATTTGGAAGCCAAGAAGGTGTAATGAGCTTTCTCCCCTTCCCCTGGCCCCTGGGGGTTGAAGATGGTCCCCTCCCACCAGCGTCACCAGAGGAGGTGATGAGCTCCCGCAGCACCCACTTAACCTTTAAGGTAGTCCTCACCATCACCAACCCACCTAGTGCCCCGTGTACCTGCCTTTCATACATTGTACCAGTCCAGAACCACCTTGGGAGTTGTCAACATGGTATTCATCCATAATGTAGCCTTCCAAACCCACCATGCCCAGGCAGTAAGAGAAGCACCAG